AACACTCACATATCAGAACAAGTGATGCCCACCTACAATCCTCCATTCAAAAGACACAGGTCGGGAGAATGGATCAAGAAATGAATCCAACTTTATGCTCTCTATAAGAAGTACTGCTAAATAATATCCTTTAGATTTTACAATTAAACTGGTCAGGTTTTCAAAATATTCTCTTATGATAGTCAGATTTTTTTTTTTTTTATCTGTTGTAATGTCTCCCTGTTCATTTCTGACCCTGATCATTTGGGTCCTGTTTCTTTTAGAGATCTGGGTCAAGTGTCCCCAATCTGAAATGTAAATAAAATATCCAGTTGAAAAGTTTTTTTAAAAAGAAGAATTGACAAATGGGATCTTGTAAAATAGCAAAGCTTCTGTAAGGCAAAGGACACCGGCAATAGGACAAAACAGCAACCCACGATTTGGGAAAAGATGTTTACCAACCCTACACCTGATAGAGGGCTAATATCCAAAATATACAACGAACTCAATAAATTAGACTCTGGAGAACCAAATAACCCTATTACACATTGGGGTACAGAGCTAAACAGAGATTTCTCAACTAAGGAATCTTGCATGGCTGAGAAGTACTTAAATGTTCAACATCCTTAGTCATCAGGGAAATGCAAATCAAAATAACCCAGAAATTCCACCTCGCACCAGTCAGAATGGCTAAGATCAAAAACTCGCAGATGCTGGCGAGGATGTGGAGGAGGAACACTTCTCCATTGTTGGTGGAATTGTAAGCTGGTACAACCATTCTAAAAGCAGTCTAGCCAGGTGGACACAGTAATACCCGAGGACCCAGCTATACCATTCCTGGGCATATACTCAGAAGATGCTCCAATATATAACAAGGACACACCCTTCACTATGTCCATAGCAGCCGTATTTATAATAGCCAGAACCTGGAAAGAACCCAGATGTCCTTCAACAGAGAAATGGATAAAGAAAATGTGGTACATTTACACAATGGAGTACTACTACTCAGCTATTAAAAACAATGACTTCGCCGGGCGGTGGTGGTGCACGGCTTTAATCCCAGCACTTGGGAGGCAGAGGCAGGTGAATTTCTGAGTTCGAGGCCAGCCTGGTCTACAGAGTGAGTTCCAGGACAGCCCAGGCTATACAGAGAAACCCTGTCTCGAAAAACCAAAAATAAATAAATAAATAAATAAATAAATAAATAAAATAAAAAAATAAAAACAATGACTTCATGAAATTCTTAGGCAAAGGGATGGAACTAGAAAATATCATCCTGAGTGAGGTGACCCAATCACAAAAAAACACACATGATATGCACTCTCTGATAAGTGGATATTAGCCAAAAAGTTCAGAATACCCAAGACACAATTCAGTGGCCACATGAAGCTAAAAAAGAAGGAAGATCAAAGTGTGGGTGCTTCAGTCCTTCTTAGAAAGGGGAACAAAACCCTCCACAGGAGCAAATATGGAGAAATAAATGTTTGAAGCAGAGACTCAGAGTATGATTTATTTATCAGGCTGTGTGCAATTCATTACCCCAACATAATTCTATAAGACTACATTGGCCACTTTACCAAATGTGCTTCGCAAATACTTGCTGTTTGATTCTTCCTGTGTTATTTCTTCTTCAGCAGTCTGGCGTCCAGGCATTTCTTTCAGGCATGTGCTGCTGGTCAATCATGACTAAGGAGATCTCTCCTTCTCCTGGTCTCCTCCTAGTCTCTCTTTCTCTTCTTCCTCCTCTCTTGTTGCCACTTCCTTCAACCCCAGCCCAGTAACTTATGCTCCACCTCTCTCTAGTCTCCCCAGTAATTGTCTGTTGCCATTTTTATTTAAAAAATTGTTTCAAACTTGGGAGTAAGGTTTGTACAAGAAAGACTGATGCAAATGGGAATTTTCTCTTCTTGGGACAACCAGATCTTGAGTTGTATAACTTAACACATGAATACAAACATCACCAGACCAAACCCCAACATGTGTGTATGCATGTACATGTATGTTTGTATGTGTTACCTGGAAACCCAGTTGAAAGTATACTGACTCATCTGAGACATGCTGATCCTTGATGCTAATTCAAGAGGTGGCGGAGCTACCATGGTGCAGGTACAAACTAAACTGTACATGCAGGATCCAAGAGGGAGTCTCACTCAGCAGTGACCTGGCCCACGGGTCAGTCAACAGGCTCTGCAAGGGAGAGAGTGGGGATGAATGGGCAAGAGACACGAAGAATGGTGACAAGACAGGGTATCTGATCAAGTCTTGTTTAGTTTATTGAACGGCAACTATGGGTCTATAAGCACAAGCAGGGGAGTGCAGCTGGAGACACTTTACCACGTGTGCCTGAAGCTGGGGGCACTAAATCACAACAGGATATGTCTGAGAAAAACAAGACGTTATCAGAGTGTGCTCAGCTGTTGTGGGCTGCTTGCAAAAATATGCTAGAAAAACAAGTCTCTTGTCAGGGTGGAAAAGTATCAACCTGCAAATATATGGCCTGGGATGGCTGCAAAGATGAGAGCCGCTTTCTGCTAGGAGTTGGCTCCCAACACAGCAGGATAATTGTAACCCAGGCATAATTATAGAAAAGTCTACAAGAAGCTGAGTTCTCAGGCCTAATGTTTTAGACCCTGCTGACAAATTTATCTATTACCTCTAATAAGACAGCCTGTATAATAACTTGTTCATTTAATTCCCCCCCATTGAAACATTCTGCATTAGGTGTGATGTTCAGCAAATTCACTTCCAAGTCTATGTTTACAGGCTGGAGTAGTTATGCGTATTTAGTCTTCTTGCTGAGGATCCAGATTTGCTTTCCAACAAGCACATGGTGGTTCTGGAGCACTTGTAGCAGTAGTTACAGAGGGTCAGACCCCTTATTCTGACATGCCCAGGCTCATGTACAAAACAAATGTGTGTGTGCATGTACGTGCGTGCACGCACGCACACAGAAACATACATTCATAAAATTGAAAAAAATATAAAATTAAAAAAATTGTCCATTGGGCATGGTGGTGCTTGCCTTTAACTCCAGCACTTAGGAGGTAGTGGGTGATGGATCTCTGGGCTGGAGGCCATCATGGTCTACAGATTCAGGTTCATGACTGACAGGACCATGCAGTGAAAACTATGCAGGAACTTTGGAACACTTGTCTCCCCCACCCCCAAGGGAGAGGCTAATTAACATTCCTGGTCAGCTCAGGAACTTTAGGAAGCTCAGGGGACTCTTGCAGGATAGGAGAGAGTGATTAACATTCCTCAGGACACAGGGGAGGGAACCAACCTTCAGGTGGGGAAGGCCCAGAACACAAGACACATTCTGCAGGACAGGATGGACCAACCCTTACCACCTACAGACAAGGGAGGGCCTTGATGCCTCATTCCCTAAAGACCAATCAGTTTAAAAGGTCACTGTTCTGCCAATCACATTGTGCCTAATGGCCGCTACCCCTAGAAACTGTATAAATATTCGCTGAACAAGCTGTGCAGGTTAGCCTCTCTTTTTGGGATGCAGGATGGCCCCAGCATGCTGGAACATTAAAAATTCCTCTTGCATTTTGCAGCAATCTCTCGTCTCTGTGTCGTTCACTCAGGGGGTCGCTGGTAAACTAAGGCTCTGCTCACTAGAGTCTTATAAACTACATCAAGAAAAGAAAATTAAATAATAGGCTTATACTTTAGAAACAGAATTGATATTTGAAGGTGATACCATTTCCTTACTTTTAAAATGTACATACAAAATACATGATTAACTACCTGCTAAAAGCCACGTTAAAAATATGTTCCTGTAAAATCCAGTAAAATCAATACTTTGCTTGTGCAATTTTCAAGACCCCGTATGCCCACCACATACTGAGCTAGTACTACTAACCCAGATACACTGTAGGGCCCTTCATTAACACATCTCTCATCAGGAAACACATACATACTGGGAAATGTAGTCTTGTACCTTTTCTGAAGACGTTTTTCTGATTGCTAACCTTGCAGGATTCTCTTGTCATTACTGCCTCCTTCTTTACCACAGAGTACTATTCATCTCCTGTGTACATCATAACACAAATGTGTTATATACCTGTCAACTACTATGACTCAACTTGTGATCAGTCATTTCAAGGAAGTAGTAACAAGAAGAAAAAAAAAGCCAGAGAGAGAAAAACGTGAGTGACTTGTGGTGAGAGAAAATGAAATATGAACTTCCTGGTGTCTCTGCTCAGAAATAGCTTCCTGGAAAATCAGTGTCTCTCACAAGAACTAACATATATAAAGTTTGTATCTGATTGGACCTCAGCAATGACAGATACAGGAGCCGTAATTCCTAAGAAAAGACAGGAGGGCACATACATCCGTTCTGCAAAGCGAGCTCCTAGCTCGTTTTGTATTCCCAGGAACATATTTCTGAGACCACGGTATTCAGGGAATAATCTCTCTGTGTCCCTGCCATCACAAGACTGTGTTTGGTTCTCCTGTGTTGGCTGTTTTCAGTGTCGCACACTAAAAATCAAGGCCTCCTGACTTTATGGAACCTGTCGCATCACCCAGCTAACTCCCATTTCTGTTTGTTCTTTTCAATACATGAGTAGCTGCCACCAGGTGGCTGCCACCAAGCCCCTTCAAAACTCATTTGAAAGGCTTGGGGCGACTTCCCATGTTAGTTTTTTGTTCATTATCTCAAAGTAAAAATTGAGTCAAAATGAACGTTTTATTCTGTAGTAAGTTCCTATAATTAGCAGAACTGAGTGTGGAACCACAGTAAAAATAACCAGTAAACGTCATAAACATTATTGTAAGGTTTCACATTCCAGCATCTCAGCTGGATATGTTTTTCATATGATTTTCAAAGCAGCCGGATTTCCTCGGACTGTCTCCCTCTAGCGGCAGAGACTGCGTGTTTCTATCCTTTCACACGGGACTCAGCGACTCTTGGACCTCCACTACACAGACTTATGGGAAATGTAGTTTTTCCTCAATGTGACGTAACAAGCAAGGGAAGCCGTGAAGCCCTTTGAGTTCTTTCTGCGCATGTTCCGCCCTACACAGTGAGTCCTCCTGTTTGGGCTCAAGTTTCTTATTACCTTGCTGGGGTTGGCTCTCTGAGATGAAGGTTGGTTCAGGGTCCAGGGCAGCCCATCAGGCCTGAGGGATTGTGCAGGGTGGTCGGGTAGGTCCATCTTTGAAGGAGTTGTCACCAGGCCCCTGGTAAGTAGGGAGAAGCTCACTTTGGAGGGGTTGTTCTAACCTTGCCTGGGCTACTGAGTCAGGATTTAGGTCAGCGCTGGGGAGAGGGCGACAGGGATGGTGCTGCCATCCATCTGCTGCTTCTTCAGTCCATCCAGGATCTCCCTGGCAGGGCAGGTCCTGAGGCAAGGCTGGAAGCTCTCTTTCCAGGTTGGCTGTGGGAGCTTACTGGTACTAGCTGACTCACTCCCATCTGTAGTCAGGTTTCTCCTCAAGTCTAGAGAAAGTGGAGTTTCTGGTCACTACTGCACGTTATAGCCACGTAGCACTCGTGTTTCTAAAGTTTGTAAAACATGTAGTATATTTTGTTTACAAGGTTTGCAAACTCTTACATTCTAGAAGAACGAGGAAAGGAAAAGGAGTGGGCAGGGACGGGGAACCTGCACTCGAGAAGGGCAGGATTTGTTTGGACTTCTCTCACAGAACATCTCTGAGGCACACGGACAGGAGGCGCGAGAATTCTTGTGACTTCCTATCGCTCTAGTCTGTTGTTCTAGGCTTGTGTCTAGAACCAGGTTCCACTGAAGGAGATTCCACATTCCATATTCTGAGTAGGAATATGCAGCCATTCTTAGGGACTCATATTTTGCTCCCTGGTCAGAAAGGCATTGTGTTTCTTCCACCTAGAAAGTAAACTTTGTCACGCTTAAGTCTCCTGGAATGTTACCTTTGTTTTAGCCAAAACCCACCTAATTGAGACCATGGTGATAGACCTTCTGCCCTCCACCCACAGGGAGCCCACAGCGGTCTGAGAGGAGCAGACACTGTAGGACTTTCAGATCTTGGTTTGAACTTAAATTTGAAAGAACCCCACTATCCCAGGACACATCCCAGGAGGGGCACATTCCTTTGTCAGAGGACACTTGCTAGATTAACTTTCAGAGAAAGAAGGGAGACCGGACACAGCAGACACCTCCTATCATCGACAGCTGTGCTAGGCAACATTAGGTAGTGATCGTTAGGGACCTGCTCACCCAGGGAAGTGTTTCTATCTTCACTCTGCTCTGGGCTCTTGCTCCTCTCTGAGCTGAGCAGTTTTCCTGCCCACACGTGGCCATCTCCTGGGTAAAGAACAGTGAAGGGTGTGCTGCTCATGTCTCATGTGGAGAGGATTTTGGCAATGTCTACTTTGTTTCCTTAAGAAGTGCTGGAGTTTGTATTAAACAGAGTTTCCATTAAACAACTTCCTTCATACTTCTCGTGACTTGGGATCTATTAGCTTTCTCCATTATCATTTTCTTCTGCGCCCCCACCCCTCGATTAATGACTATTTTGCCTTCGTGTATATCTGTGAACCACTTGCATGCCTGGTGTCCATTGAAGCCAGGTGAGGGGGCATGTCCTCTCGAACTGGAGTTGCAGATGGCTGTGAGCTGACAGGTCGGTGCTAGGAATTGAACCCAAGTCCTCCAGAAGAACTATCAGTGTGTTCTTCCACTGATAGTTCCTGAGTCTCTTCACTTGACAGGATCTGGAACAAGTCCTTTTGTTCCGTGGCTTCCTCTCTTCCCCAAGTCTGTTAGGAAGTAACTGCTTGGGACACTTACAGTTCCTAGGCTCTGCCTGTGTAGTTATGCTGTTCGTTTTCATCTGTCAGTTGTGATGTATCATCTCTCAGCTTCGTCAAGTGCTGTCTCTGCAGAGTTAACCTAGTGAGGATTTTAAAGAGGCTTCTTCTGGGTCAGGAGCCACTGTTATCTTCGCCCCATGTGAATTTCTTTAGAGCTATCTAGGCTGGTACTTGTTGAGATTCCAGTTTTAATTTGTATGGTTTACTTTTTCAAATAATGTAAGATTAAAGACTATATTTTCTAAAATCTTGTTTTCCACATTTCTGTCTTGTTTTTATGAGGAAAGACTTTACATATCATGTTAGCCTTGAACTCTCAATAGAGACAAGGCTTTCCTCGAATAGAGTTGAGAGATTTGTTTGGTTTTTTCCCTTCCACGATGTGGGACACAGATCGTCAGTCTGGGCACAGAGTGACTGCCCTAGGGTACAGTTACTAGAGCTTGTGAAGTCTTGTAGGATCACATCTACAGGGCCTTGATCCACCACGAAATGCTCTTTCCCTTGGCTGACTGAGGGAGACAAGGCAGAACTCATTGCCTTGGTCAGACCTGAAACACAGTAGGAGTTGGAAGCCAGTTCCATTTTTCACATCCTGAGGAGAATGGCTGAATGTCGGGCTGTCCTCCAAGTCATTCCTTGCTGCTCTACATGTGGGCGGGGAGTAGACAAGCATGGCTTTGTGGCTTTCCCTCCTGCCCACCACTCTGCTGGGAATTGAACCCAGATCTCACATATCTGAGTAAGAACTTTTCCCCTGAGCTGTGTTCTGAGCCCTTGTTGTTCTTTGATGTACGTGCCCTCAATTTATCGTCTTCCTCTGTGCTGCATCTCAGCAGCAGTTTGTGGGTTTCTCACAAAAGTCCATCCTGGCACGTTTTGTCTTGGTCAACACTCACCATGCATTTCCATGGGGAAGATTTGGATCTTTCTGTATTTCTGAGGAATTTATTCTATAGGGTGGTGGCTTGTCAGGAGCAGCCCTGCTTATACACTGAAGGCCTAAAATCAGCACTAGGCCTGACATACATGCCTGCTAGCACAAAGTCTTGGGTCTCTGTGGAAAAACACTGAAGCAGATGCCTAGAAGCTATTGTAGACAAGTAGCTTTGGTGGAAAATTGCCAGGCTGAATACAGAGACCTTGTAGATAGATAGCCTTGGTGAATAGTACCAACTTAGATAAGGACAAGTGAATCATAGACGGAGTCATAGTGTCCTGTCCCCTGAACCTTCACCCAGCTGACACTCTGTTCTGGAAGATATCTATACTCCCCCTGAATACCTACACTCCTGTGTCATCCTCTTCCCCACATCTTGCCTTGTTGTGTTTATAACCTGTGTGTGAAAAAGTAAAAATGGCGATCTGACCAGACTATAGACAGGTCGTCTTTCCTTGCATCGGCCTGTCCCCCACTTTCTCTTTCAGGTGATCTCCCTGGACCCCTGTTAAATGCCCTACTGGACAGGACAGTGGCTCAGTCAGCCTTCCAGTATGTGAGTTAGGAATAGAACATTGGAAGGAATTCCATCCAGCTCTCACTTGATAGGAAGAATGTATTGGGATGACTGGGAGTATGGAATGAGATTGAAAACAATGCAGCATGGTTTGGCTTCATACATGGAATCTGGGCTATTCATGGAACTCATATTTTATAGAAAACTTTTAACAGTTGACAAGTGAATGAAAACAAATGAAAGAAAAAGTTAATATAGAAATGAGTAGCTGTCACATTTTTTTTCATGCATGCCACAGTGGTGTCCATAGAAAGAACCAAAGCACCTTCCTCAGACACATGCATATTCTGCATAGTCACACATTTTTCCTGTTGTCAGAGTCACGTATATGTGATTTTTTTTCCAAAGCACAGTCCACATTTTTACTCTTGCTGGAGCAGATGTAAATATTATTTTACCACATTTCTATGTTCTGACTTCATAATAATTTTGTTATTTCAGTTATAAAACCAGATCTCAGCACTGTTTTGATGCAAATATGTTAATTTTCTTTATACTCTTTTTTTTCCTGAGTAGAAGTTCATCTAAAATTGGATGAAACCCAACTTGTAAAATTCACTTGATTTTTTTTTTTTTTAACAATGTCATAAAAGGAAAATAAGAAGTGGTATACGCATTCACATAGATGCCATTCAGGTACATAAAAGAGTAGAGTTCTGCCTGCTTCCCCGCTCCAAATATTGCTTTCTTCTCTTTCATCTTCTCCTTTTCCTCCTCCTCCTCCTCCTCTCCCTCCTCCTTCCTCCTTCCTCCTTCCTCCTCTTCCTCCTCCTCCTCCTCCTCCTCCTCCTCTTCTTCTTCTTCTCTTTTGTTTGTTTATGGTTTTGTTCTATTTTGTTTTTTGAGAGAAGGTTTCTCTACGTAGCCCTAGCTGTCCTGGAACTCACTCTGTAGACCAAGATGGCCTGGAACTCACTCTGAGGACCAGGATGGCTTGGATTCAAAGAGTTCTGCCTGCCTCTGCCTCCAAAGTGCTGGGTTCAAATGCATGCACAACCACTGCCTTGCTATGATTGTTTTGTTGGTGTTTGTGGTATTGCTGTTGGTGTTCTGTGTCACACTTTGTGTCTGAGTGATTGTACCTTTGTACCTTCCTTTATTTTCTTCCTACAGTCTTGCTTCTGTTTATTCCTCTCTGTAGTCTAAAGCATTGCTACCACAGTTCTTTGTTTGGACTGGTTTGAGCCACATGAATTCTGTTAGTCTGTCTGTATCCTGGAAAGTTCTTTCTCCTTCAACTACATCAGATAATTTTTGCTGAGTGTAGTAGTTTAGTTGAGATCTCTTGTCTCTTAGAACTTGGAATGAATTGTCTGAGGATCTTACAGATTTCAAAAAATTTCTGGAACTTAATGAACTTAAAGTAGTCCTCTGATGGAAACTTAAAGATTTACGAGAATGTGTTTTAAACACACACACACACACACACGCACACAAAGAACACAAATAAATAACTTGATGTTACAATTCAAGAATTACATAGAAGAAACCAAACACAAATGCAGTAGACAAAAATAAAAATCAGAGCATAAAGAGATGAAATAGAAACAATGAAAACTTCAAAACAACCAGTAAGACCCAGAGGTGGTTCTTGGGACAGTTAAGGGTGATTGTTGAGCTGACTGAAGGGAAGAAAAGAGGGATCTCAGTTCAGACCAGGATAATTGGAGAAACACTGCTGCAGACACTGGAGAAACCCAGAGCCTTATAAGGGAAAACTTTAGAAATCTGTCCCCCATTCCATTTCTAGATTCCTCCAGCTGCCCATGTTAAACTAAGAGGAGATCAGCAATCTAAAGAGACCTACAAATGAGATCATACACCCAAAAGCCAGTCGCTTTTCCTTTTGTTTTAAAATAAAGGGAAAAAAGAGAAAGAAGAAAAGAAAGAAAGAAAAAGGAAACAGAGGCCCAGATGGATTCACAGTAGAATTATACTAGGCTTTTAGTGAAAATCTATAATCATTTCTCCAAATTCTATACTTCTTAAATAAGGAAGGAAGGAAGGAAGGAAGGAAGGAAGGAAGGAAGGAAGGAAAAGGAGCACTTTCAAACTCCTATAAAGTCAGTATTACTACGGAACTCTGCATACTCAGAAACCTGGACTTCAGGACTCAGTGTCTCCATCAGGATCAGCATTTTAATTTGCTGTCACATTCATTGTTCTGTGTACTAAGTGTTGAGAAGTAACTTCTCACACACTGGCTTTAGTATAAAGTGCAGAATACAAGCACGTGATCTGCACAACCTTGTGGATGCATTCGTTTGACGTCAGCATCCCTAACTAGGTAATAGCTATGTGTACTATTCTCTGAAAGATGGGTACTGTGTCAGATCACACGACTATATCAAAAATAAGTTGATGGTGTCATTTACCCACATCAGAAGCACTACTAACTCTTTTACCCTAGGGAAACTTTACAATGGTGTTCACAGCACATAATGCCGGTTAGTGTTTGTATTATTATTAGTGGCTTTAAGTTGTCTATTGGGTGATATGCATTCATTGATCTTTATTTCAGAAATGCTGTCATTCAGGGATGTGGCCATTGATTTCTCTGCAGAAGAGAGAGAATGCCTGGAGCCTGCTCAGTGGAATCTGTACAGGGACGTGATGCTGGAGAACTACAGCCACCTTGTGTTCCTGGGTGAGGAACACTTTCATTGTGAATTCCTAATTCATTGTCAACATGTAACTTCCTTTTATAGAAATCTTCTAGGACCTTTTACTTTCTGATAGGCCTGCTTTCCCTCCAGGTTTCTCTGGTTGCTGTGGAACTTGCTCTGTAGATCAGGCTATCCTTGAACTTAGAGATATGTCTGTCTTGACTTCCCTAGTGCTGGAGCTGCCACACCCAGCTCATAGGCCTGCTTTTAAGGGAGAACTGTTGGTGCAACTCATAAGACTCTGGTGAGCCTTAGCTTACTGGGGACCCCCTGAGTGAAACACGCAGAGCCAGGGATTAATGCAAAAAGCAAGAGAAATTTATTGTTCCAACTCGATGGAGGTCATCTTGCACCTGAAGGAGAGGTGGCAATCCCTGGCAGCCCGTTTGGCCAGTTTTTATACAGTTGTTAGGGCAGCAGCCATTAGGCACAATGTGATTGGCAGAACAATGTGACTTTTCAAACTGGTTGGTCTTTAGGGAATATGGTGACAAGGACATCCCTTGTCTGTAGGTGGCAAGGGTTGGTCCGTCCTTCGGAATGTGTCTATGTGCTGTGGGCCTTCCCCACCCATAGGTGGGTTCCCTAACCTGTGTCCTGAGGAATGTTAATCAGCCTCTCCCTTCCAGGGAAGCAAGCGTCCCCTGACCAAGGAATGTTAACTAGCCTCTTCCATCCAGAGCGACAAGTGTCCCATGACCTTTCCAAAGTTCTTGAGCTGACTTCTTCAAACTAAGACAAATTTCACTTCTTTTGTTTTAATCTATTTCCGTGTGCGCCTCCTTCATTGTAGTTGTGATTTGAGAAATTAAATGGAAACAGGCCGTGGAACACGCATGGAAAAGAAAATGTTTTAGTCTTTTCTCGTTTTATAGTTTTCCTTGTCAATGACAGAAATGAAGATCCGTGATTATTAACCACTAAGTACTCTAAGATGCCTACGGGGAACAATGTGGGGAGCTCATTTTCGACAGTCCCACCTTAGTTAAGTCTTGTTTTTTTCCTATCAGTGCAGTACTGGAATAGAAATGCTAACTCTCTTCTTCCTCCCTCCCCTCAGACCTGTCTTTCTCCAAGCCATTATTGGTCAGATTTCTGGAGAAAAACCAAGAACTTTGGAGTGTGCAGAGAAAAGCAGCGGCTGTGCTCCGAGGTGTGTAGGGATGAGGGGTGAGAGGTGGAGTGGAAGGTCGGATCCAACAGAAGGCCAGGCTCTAATGTATAGTGAAGTGTCGTTCTCTGGTGGGAAACATCCTGTTGCTATCTTTTTTAATGACTTGTGCTGTCAGAGAAGAACATCTCTCAGCTGTTGGTGGTTCTTTAAGTCTCCAACCGTTGTTCTTCCTGTCCGTTTTTAGTGACTGCCAAAGTACTGAATTTTGGTGAGAGTCTACATTGCAATGGACTCTTCACTATTTCTTACTACTCTCAAAACTGGCACACGTTTCTAAAAACCTATGTAGGAAGCCTTTGTATTCAGTAACTCATACATACATTTCTTTTCAAAAAATTATTTAACTTATTTTTGAGATTACATCATCCTCCCCTTCCTCCTTCTAAACCCTCCTTTATACTCCGTCTTTCTGTCTTTCAAAATCATGGCTTCCTTTTTAGTGAATTGTTGTCACATGCATATACTTATATTCCTAAATAAAGCGTTCAGTCTGTACAATGTTACTTGTATGCATGATTTCTGGATTGAATGTTTGGTATTGGGTAACAGATTGGTATGCTCTTCCCTGAGGAAGACTATTTCTCCCTCTCTCCATATTTCCTGGTTACCTGTGGTTCTTTGTGTAGGGCTGAGGCCTCATAGGCTTTTCCCTGTCCACACTGGGGTGTGCCTTGGTTGTCCTTGCTTTCCTCGTGTGTGGGCAGTCAAGTTGGCAAGACTTTGAGTGTGGCCTCTGACATTAGGGGGAAACACTATTCCATAGTAAATTCCCTGACCCTCTGGTGCTTAAAAAATCTTTCAGCCCCTCTTCCACAATGTTCCCTGAGCGTCTTAGGTACAGGTATTTATTTATTTATTTATTTATTTATTTATTTATTTATTTATTGATGCATTCACTTGGACTGGTTGCCACAAGTCTACATTTTGATCAGTTGTGGTTTTTCTGAAATGGTGTGCATTTTTTTTGGAACGAGAAGTTTCCTTGATGAGCGAGGGGGACCGTACGTCCCTCTGGGTGTAAGGATAAACTGTTGGAATGTGGTGGCGGAGACTATGCTGGTTTAGAGAAGTGGCAGTTGTAGGCTCTTCTCCAAGATTCATGGTTTCACATGGTTGGCTAGGTTTTTGGCACCAGGCATTTCTTTCTTGTTGAGTGAGCTTTAGAAAGCTTACCATGTTATGTTTGTCAGCACTGTACCCTGGCATTTGTGCCATGCTGGTCATTGTTGTGGTTCATGGGTGCCATGACTGGGTAGGACTTTTGGTTGCTTCCTTTCTTGGTAAGGTTGCATGCTGCCTTCTGTTATCATGAAAACTATTCTTCAGGGAGAAGGCATTCTGATCATTTCTAGTTCAAGGGCCTCTGGGTCCAGTGTCTTAAGTGTGTGAAATCTTCAGCAGTAAGAACTCACCTTCCACTTCAGAGGGACAACCACAGGCACTAGCAGTAGTCTGGAATGTTTTGGGAGTCTTTAGGACCACCTTGACTAGTTACTCAAAGGTAGGCTTTTCATGTCTGGTGTTCAAGGTTTTTCTTAGGTGGTCTTTAGCTCTTGGAGGCAGCATTGTCAGCCCCCGTGGGAAAACATCATTTAAATTATGTATGTATATTCATACTCAGATTTCATATATTTTTAGGTAGATAGTTAATAGTATGAATTCCTATAACTTTTCTGTAGACAACCTTCCTGTTATTTTACTTCCTCAACCTTCCTGTTATTTTACTTCCTCTCTTCTTCTTTTCTAGTATTCTCTCCCTCTCTGACTAGAATCCCCATTTTCTGTCACATCTTTATATCCTGTTAATTAAATTGTCTTCTCAGAGTGCTATCAGAATTATTTGTATTCAACTTAATGTTTTCTCTCACACAGTGTCAGTGATTTAACATACATAACTTTGTGGGTAGATAGTCTTGGGTGAAGTCTGTACAAATCTAGAAGAATGCTTCCTACACTGGTTAAGAATGTTGTGAGTTTTATATTCTTGGTTCCTCATTTGCAGTTCCATTTTCCCTATTATGATTTTGCCACCTAATCTGCCTGAAATCATCTCATTGGATGTACTGTGTGTGTATGTTTTTAGATGGAATATCTACAACTAAAACATTTTAAGACTAACATTTTTAAGCCAGGCAGTGGTGGCGCACGCCTTTAATCCCAGCACTTGGGAGGCAGAGGCAGATGGATTTCTGAGTTCGAGGCCAGCCTGGTCTATAGAGTGAGTTCCAAGACAGCCAAGGCTATACAGAGAAACACTGTCTCAAAAAACAAAAAAACAAACAAACAAAAAGACTGTAACATTTTTTAATGCGTGTGAAAAATCTATATTAAAATATGTTTCTGTGACCAGCAGTATTGTGTATTTCCACTTACATGCATGAACATGGGCCTCACACTGTCATGTTTTCCATTTACATGTGTGAACACGGGCCTCACACTGTCATGTTTTCCACTTACATGTGTGAACACAGGCCCCATACTGTCATGTTTTCCACTTAAATGTATGAACATGGGTCTCACACTGTCAAGTTTTCCACTTACATGTGTGAACACAGGCCTCATACTCTCATGTTTTCCATTTACATGTGTGAACACGGGCCTCATACT